CATTTTCATTTGAGTTATCAATTAATTAACGTTCTTTTGGAAAATAGCTATTCAAAACCCTAGATACGTAATCATTTAAGGATTTTGATAAAGTGGCGACCGAAATCGTTTGGTCTCAATAAGGTATTCAATTTGATTTCTTGAATTCTTGCAATCTCTAATAAGCCGAGCTTGTGAGCTTATTATCTTGAATTAGTGATTTTACTAACTCATTAATGCTAACCACACCCGTGAATTTGAGAGCTTGTTCAAATTCCCATTTGGGGTTAAGATTTGATTAAAAAGTTTGTTTTAATCAATGTGTATCTTAGAAAATCAAAGTTGTCGGAGCTTGTTGACAACTATAGACGGTTTGGACTTGTTTTGGCATTTTGCACCACATGAATGAATAATAGTGTTGTATCATAGTCGAAAATGAGATATCTGTTGATCTTTTTAATTAATATTAATAAATATCTTAATCCCCCTCTACTTAAATTGTAGAAAATTGAATAATAGTCATGATCAATCCCTATACATTCGGTCTTACTTACCACTATTATAATTAATACTCTGATCAAAAACTTTTGCTCGAATATAAAATCGTATGCAAATAGTAAATAAATTAAAATTCACGTCAACAAGGATTTCAATAGTTAAATAAGAGAGAGAGAGAGAGAGAGATGGCGATCGACGGAGTTTCCAAGACCATTGTTGAAACTATATCCGTACAGTTGGTGGATCAAAATACATACGCTAATCTCGGTTAAACACAAGATCGATGTGGTGGAAAACAACAGTTGAAAGCAACAACTTACCAACAAGTTTGAGGTATGAATTCTTCACATGATTTTGTTCGTTTTAATGCTTCTAATCTAACGGACTAGTTTTTATGTATCTACAGTAGTCTCTTAAGTGGTAATTTTGAGTTCGAATGTGAAAATCGATACTCCAAAACCTAAAATGCAAACTTTGTCAAGAAATCATTGGTTTCTATGCAAAAAGTAGCAAAAGCATTCATAAATATGAAATCGTTTGAATAGTTTTAGCAAAAGTGGACCAAATCCGTCTCCCCACCCGTCTCGCTGTTGGGCAAGGAAAGATGAAGGGGGATTTGGGGGAATCGGGTCGGAAGACGAATCCTTGCATCCGTCTGCTGACTTTTTGGCCATTTACAGATTTGGCCCCTGTAGTTTTTAACTTTATATTTCTGCACTTAAGTAAATTTATTATGAGTTTTTCATAATCCACAGATTTAGCTAGAGGTGTGCATCGGCTGGTTCCGGTGGGAAAACCTGAAATCTCAATCGGATTTCGAATTTTGGGTTTTGGAATTTGGATGGCTTCTGATTGGGTCGGCAGGGTTTGGGTATAGTTTGAATGCAAAAAGAGAATTTTAATCGATTTTGAGGATGAAGTCAATCAATCAAGAAGATTGATGAAATCGTTAGTAGGTTTAGAAATCAGGAAAGAGTTGAATAACTATATAAATAACTGTATCTATAGGGTCAGGTTCATGAGAAAACCACAAAAAAATGAAAAAATTGAGGAACACCCTGTAACCATTCATCTAGAATGCATGCACATGTGTACACAAGTAACTTGTAAGCAATTCGTTCGGTATGTACACGTGCATAAAAACCAAGAAACAACTTCAACCACTTGTATACACATGTGCGTACTGTTTACATGAATGTCTAAGTGTTCCTCAGTTTAAAACGACGACAAAAAAAATACCCCAACTATAAAAAGCAGTAGATGGAGTACTGTGCCACGAAATCCACAAGCTAGTGAAGCCTTTAGCTCTATGTGACAAATCAATGGAAGAAGCAAGTTAGATATTGAACGACAAATCTCCAACCCAATGTATGTTGCCAAACACAATTTATTCTATGTACTCCAAATCAAGTAAAGGGAAGTCCAAACAACAAAGCAATCGGGAACTCGGACAAAGCCATCACATCCGAAAACGGACCGATGGTCCGAGGGGTGAAGCCCCGCCACCTCAATGACATGTCCTAAATCGTCGAACTGAAGAGCAACATGTGAAACAATAATCCACAGTTTCATTGATGCTACTACATCGAGGGCAAAACACCAAGTAAAGGCCAAACCCCATTTGATCAAGCCAAAAGAAAATACATTTAGGGGTTGTTTACCCAAACGCTTTCTTGATAAGCATTTACTGGTATGAGTCAACGCTCTAACTTACTTTTCCGGGTAAGAATGTAGTCAATCAAAACGATAGTGTATGCAACAATTTACCAGGAAAGCATCATCACCCTCACTTACTGGGTAAGATTTTCCATCTTTATTATCATTCTTACCGCGTAAGATTCTCAGCCCTTGTCATGTTCATCTAGTAAGGTAAAATGACTTAGGGGCCGTTTACCAAACATTTATTCGGTAAGTGTTTATCGGTAAAATTTAACATTAGTATTTACTTACTAGGAAAGATTTTAGTAAACGACATCGTATGCAACAATTTACCCCGTAAGCGCTTACCGTGGTAAGAGTCGTTGCCCTCACTTACCGGGTAAGACTCTTGGTTCTCGTCTCGCTCTTACCGGGAAAATTCTTGGTCCTTATCATATCCATCCGGTGAGGTAATGTTCTTGGCAAGCGCTTACCCGGGTAAGCGTTTAGTAAACTGCCCCTTAGTAAACACTTAGCGGGCAAGTGTTTAGTAAACTTCCCTTTAGTTTTTCAAAGTTACAATTATTTAATTTATCTTTAATTAATATTTATTTTATTTTTCAGGATTTAATTGAAAATAAATGTTAGCATGCATATTATAATTATAAGTAACACATCATTAAAAAGAAAAATGTAATTTATCATGGAGAGATTGCACATATTTAAGTAATATTTAACTATTGTAAACAATTATATGAATATCAAGAATTCTAAATAAAAGGTCAGCACAAAATTTCAATATGACGATTATGGACATCTCGTATATGTCGGATGTGTATTTTGATGATCTCGGATTATATTGCGTGCTTGTGATTACTATATACGACAAATAGACTTTACAACAAATTCTAGACAACATGAACAACGGACGTTGGGACAAATATTGACTAGAATACATAACACTTGGACCGATAATGAGAAAAATTAGACACAGGACAACAAATGCAATTAAGTTTGAACAGTTTAATGGGAATTATTGACGATAGTATGACGATCCCAACGATTAGCAAAACCTTAGGCAATAAGATTGAATTTTCATGTACTTTATATCCATGTATTAATGTTCTATTCTGACGGTGAGAACGGTAAGAAGAGATCTTCATCCTTAGATCAATCATAATTGAAGAGTTCCATTAAAGAGAAGCACTTAATCAATTCCCTTATAAAACACAGTTCATGAGTTGGTTTAAGATTAAAAATGATCAAGGGTTTAAATCTCTTCTTATGATTTTCACAATAAAGCCAAAAACAATTTATAGGTCAAAAATCACGATTACTCAATTACCTCTACACTTAGAAAACAACATGGGTGATTCATCATTCAAAAGAGCATCAAATGTTAAACTCGTCCTAAAGAGAAATACATTTTTGAGATCACTTGGCATAAACAATTTGTAAGGGGCACTTTGATTTGAACATTTCCCTTAATTTAATCTGAAATAAAAATTTGAAATTTGAAGGAAATGACTTATTAAATTATATAAAAATAAATCATGTTTTTTTTTTTAGGGTTTAGAGTTTAAGGTTTAGTAATTCTAACCGAACACAAATATACTGATCACACTATTCTTGCTTTAATAAAATAAAGAGAATTCATCTTTTAATTAAGGGGTCGTTTACCAAACACTTACCGGTAAAATTTAACATTGTCCTCTACTTACCGGGTAAGATTTTAATCCACCAAAAAGGGTATCGTATGCAACATTTTACCCAGTAAGCGCTTATCGTGGTAAGAGTCGTCGCCCTCACTTATCGGGTAAGACTCTTGGTCATTGTCTTGCTCTTATCGGATAAGATTCTTGATCCTTACCACATTCATCCGATAAGGGAATGTGACTTGGTGTTCACTTACCCGAATAAATGTTTGGTAAACGGCCCCTAAGTTTTATCGTAAATAGTCATATCTTAGTGTTTTGAAAAAATAAGGAACTGCCGCTACTATTGAAATAATTTTTTACAAAGAAATTGTTAGATTGTATTGGGTCATATAACAAAACAAAAAGTAAACTACAAATTTGGCCCTCGTGGTTTGTCGAAAATAACACTTTATGCCTATAGTTTTGAAATTACCAAATGGCCATCATGTTTTACAAAAAATTGTTCGGACTAGGTCCCTCCCTTTAACAATCATTAAAAAATTCCTTTAAATGAGGGGCATTTTCGTCCTTTTATCGATTTTATTGTCTTTTACCCAATCTAAATCGATTTTATGATTTTAGTCCTTGTGGTTTTTATTGGGTAAAAGATAAAAAATCGATAAAAGAACGAAAAGTGTTATTTCGACAAACCACAAAGACCACATTTGTAGTTTACTCTAAAAGAAATGATGATTTAGGGGTTGTTTGACGTTGCTGAATGGTTTGGTGCAGAATGATTAAGAGACTTTCATGATATAATGCAAAATGAAATATAATTGTTTGATAATTGTGTATAATGAAATTAGGGCTCTTAATGGTTAAGGAAGATCCATAATACAAAATCATTCAGGGAGTTTTAGAACCATTAAGAAGCGGACTTTTTTTTGCCAAACATGATTCACCTTTTAACGATTCAGGGATTACCTCTTAATGGAACTATTAAGAGGTACACAATCAACCTAGTTACCCCACTACCTCTATGCATCCCCCCAACCCAAACAACCATCGACACTTCAACAGCAAAAAAGCAATTGGGGCTGATCTTAGTAGATCAATGAAAGACACAGTTAACATCAAACTTCAACAAGATCTTAACAGCAACTTCACTTGGTCAGAGTGGATAGTAAGAGGTCAATGACAAATAAATTATCTTCTGCTATATTTTTTTTTGGCCTAAAAACTGATAAATAAACCAAATCAAACCCACCCAATGAATCGTACTCAAGTCAAGTCTAGGAAGGATAAGATGTACACAAAAGTTGAAAAAGGCTAGTCCTCCTCGGATAATATAGGCATGTACCAGATCGAACATGTTTTCCCCATACAAGGTAAAATAAATCTAGCCGTATACAAAACAACATGATTGTAAAACTCGAAAATATAACTCTTTAATGGTTGGATATAGTAATGAATGAAAACAAGAAATCAAACCTTAATAACTCCGTCCCCAGTACGTCCATTTCTTGGCAGGTTTCCCCGATGCAAAGCACAATGTACCTGTCACAAAAATGAAGCATCATAAGCATTCCGAAAAACCAAATAAGTTTACATTCAGTCATTGCCAGATTTTCTTGTTTGACTTGTCAATGGCATACAACATGAGTATAACTAGCTCATTTTTGTTCAAATTGAGCTTCAGTTTAGGGTCTAAGGGGTGTTTGGTTGGTTTTCCAACAAGTCTTGAATGGATAAAGTTGTTTGTGTTGATTCACATGTCTGTAAAAATTGAGGTTTTTGTTTGGAAGGGTTTTTCATAGATAGAAGGAGCGTGTTTCTTAATTGGAAGGGGCAGGTTTAGAAAAAGTTTGGCTCTCTACATAAAGCTCTCCCAATAAGCCACTTTCTATATCATTAAGCCACTACCAAACAGTCATGTATAGCTGACCGAATAAGTTGTGAGTCCCATTAAGCTCATTAAGCTGCCAACAAACACGCCTTAAATCAAGCTACACATGTGACTTGGTAAAAATGTATTACAACGTCATGTGAAAATAGATATAAAACAAATACTAACATTATCACAGAGTGTAGAGCGTGATTTTTTTGCATTTTCATCAGAACAACTATTTGTAACAAAAAAGAACCTAAGTATGATGTTTAAAAACCTCAACGGTTAGCCTAGCAGTCAATCACACGGCCACGTGCCTTGTGAAGTATCAGGGTTAATCCTCATCTTTGTTTGTCAAATTGGCTAACCCCTCTCGTCTTTGTTTGTAAAACAAAACAAACCCGGACTCGAAAGCAGGGGTGGGACGTACGCAAACTTGTCCAATGCCTTCATAGGGTAGAGTTTTTGTTTGTCAATTGGCACATTACTCGTATAAACTATAATAATACCTTCAGGCAGTTGAGGCTGGTCAAATGGAGAACAAAGCGTCTTAGCAGCTCCTGTCTCCCCTTTTGTCTTTGTTTTCACATCCTTCTCCACTTCCTGAAGCATCAGCAGCAAAGCAAAATTATAAGACGTGTATCATGATAATAAATGTGGGCCAAATGAGGTTATAATATGCAGTTTCATGTTAGAGGACTACAAACGTATAATACAAATGTATTTATTACCTCTTCATCGCACCATGGAGCCAAGATCAATTTCTTTTGGCTTAATGCTTCAATGAATTCATCCCAAGTTTTCGCAACTTGAACACAGGCATCTCGTTTTTGCTTAGCAACATTAAACATGTTTTGCTGAATATCATCCAGCATACACTTTACTTTATCAACCAAACCGTCCATAGGAATATCAATTTTTGCTGCATTGTCACGACGAACAGCACGCACCTGAAAAGAAAAGAAACCCACATCAGGCTTTGCATGGAACACTTGCAGTTTGTAACAATGAAGTCAGCCTTAGTCTTAGGGGCTATTTGGTTGGTTTTCCATTAGGTCCTGTATGGATAAAGCTAACTGTATGGATTAATATGTCTATATAAATTGGGAGGTTTTCCTTCATAGATGGACGGAGCGTGTTCTTTAATGGGGGAGGGGCAGGTTTGGAAGAAAAAAAAAACTTGGCCTTCAGTATAAAGCTGCCCCATAGAAGCTTACTGAATAATCCACTCTTTGTATCATTAAGCCACTACCAAACAATCATGTATAGCAGACCGAATAAGTTGCAAGTCCCATTAAGCTCATTAAGCTGGTAACAAGCAGACCCTGAGTCTTACCTGGTTATTGGCCAGGTCTTTCGGTCCTATCTCAATCCTCAGGGGAACACCTTTCATTTCCCAATGAGAATACTTCCAACCAGGTGAATAATTCTCTCTGAGGTCCGCTTCGGCACGAATACCTAAATCACATAAAACTTTTACGGTGGCTGAACATGCACTTAATATTTCCTTAATATCTGCATCTTTGTAAGGCACATGAATCACAATAACTTGTATTGCGGCAACTTTAGGGGGTAACACCAGGCCCCTATCATCCCCATGGGTCATCACCATCACCCCAATCTGTAAACAACACAATTCAAAATAAATAAATAAAGTTAAATTGTTATCACTTATCACTAAATATTAAACACCTTCAAAGAAAATTTTCCAGTTACCGTTCTAGTACTGTATGCCCAGGAATTCTGCCAGACCATAGCCTTTTCTCCCTTCTCATCTTCAAAATTAATCTCGAACATCTTAGCAAAATTCTGGCCCAAGCAATGTGAAGTTGCACCTTGAACACCACGACCGGTATTTGGAATAAAGGCCTGCAAACATGCAAGCACTTATATGACCATGAATGGCTTTTAACAGTTCATAATTTATAGTATCTTATATAAGTACCTCGACACTAGTAGTATAAAGTCCACCGGCAAACTTCTCCATCTCGCTTTTTTTCCCTTTCACAACAGGTACAGCCAAGTACTCCTCATATAGACGCCTATACAGTTCAAGGATTTCAAGAACCTAAAACACGCCATTAATCAGAGTCAGATTGACCATCTAAATAAAAAAACGCTCCATTTTTCACGCTTGAAACAGATGAATTGACATTTTTTTCTACTTTTGTTGAATAGGAGATCAATGAGCTGCATCAGACTCCAGATATGAGTACACTTATGTTATAAAGAATTAATTTTATACCTCAGTGTCTGCCTCCTCCTTTGTTGCAAAGGCAGTGTGCCCTTCTTGCCAAAGAAATTCACGGCTCCTATGATAATGGGGAGTTTAGCATTTTAACGGCTGATTCAAGACCAAATCATCATAAATAACCGGGGGATATGAACAAGCACTGAATAGCACCTGATAAATGGAGTAGGATTACTGAACTCCCATCGGACAACATTGCACCATTGGTTAAGTTTTAAAGGCAAGTCACGGTGTCCCCTGATCCACTTAGAGAAATAGGGGTACATGACGGTTTCACTAGTTGGGCGAATGGCAATAGGGACTTCCAAATCAGAGTCACCTGATCTCGTGACCCAAGCAACCTGAAAGATTTAAATCAAGAAAAGCATCAAAAGTAGATTGCGGTAACAAAAGCAATATACATTAGAAAGCCATAAGCTAAGACACCAAATATTGTGACAGATACAAGTTCTTGGCACAAATTTCTACTACTAACCTCAACTGGAAATCAACATATTCTCTTGACGCACTTGCAGAATGGAAGAACAACCTTACAGTCCTAACGGTAAGATATGTATTGTGACCCTCAACAAGTCTCGCAAAAACTCAAGATTCTGTGCAGCTACAAGTTGTAAGGAATCTTAAGTTCAAACTGTGGCTAACTAAAGTTGGCACCCTGGGTTTCGGTGAATCATAAATAAACCAACATCGATGTAATAAATGGCTATTGGTGCACATCATATCGTGCAGGGTTCGATCAAAATCAGCAAATATGATTAATTTATTCTATTGACTTGGGTTAGCATCACCTGTAGCCCAACCCAGATGGATACCTAAACATTATCGTAGTAACACATCTATGGCAGCGCTACACCATGATACAATCAACGCCAAAAGATCTATCATGTCAACATCTTGTGTCAGCTACACCTTGGTAAAAATCCAACTCCATTGGTTAAATTCTTGGAGGATCTTCAAGGTCCATGTCAATCATACACGTTCAAAAAGTAAACTTCACCAAAAGACCACTCAGATAAAATGGGAATATAAAGTATATAAATGATACCTCAGGAGCAAAACCCTCTATGTGATCCTTCTCCTTTTGTAGAACGTTATTGGATACAAAAAGCGGAAAATAGCAAGTTTTAATCTTCATCTTCTTAATTTCTGCATCAAAGAAGGTCTGCATAAAGATGTCAGAAAATGGTTTTAATTCCATCATGTTTTTCCTAACCCGGTGACAGAAAAGCTTAAACAAAAAGAGCAAGACACGTATCAGAACAAGATGAATAAACTTAATGTTTCATGCTTACTTGCATTATCTCCCAAATGGACATTGTCCATGGCCGGAGAATGTAACAGCCGGATATTTCATAATATTCTATCATTTCACCATTTGTAACAACCTATAGGAGCCAAGAAAATGAGTTAGAGAAGAATAGCCACATTCTGTAATGAATACATATCTCATCCATTTTCTATACATTGTCATTGTAAAAAGGAAATGACATGTGTTTCTAGTATGGAACACTCATCATCTATGAAGAGTTGCTTGTCTTCTTTACAATGACAATGTAAGGAAAATCATTGCATATTTTCTTCCATTGTTCATATTTTTTTGTATAATTTTTTTCTCTTCTTGGTTCATATATGAAATCTTTATCATGTAGATATGAAACCAAATAGAATCGAGTGTCGGCATTAATGCATTTAGCCCTCCTGCATTTCCTAATTCAAATTAGGATATTACAGTACACGAAATACATGGAAAGCTTGAAAACACAATAGAATTCATCATATACCTCAGAATACCATTCCCCAAAGTTGCCGTCTTTAGTATTTGTAAGACCCAGACCTGTCTCCTTTTTCCTTCCCTCTACAATCACAATGTTGATGACAGAATTACACACAGAACATAGATACACCTGTTTTTATATCTAAGACTCAAGCATCTGTGTATGTGTGTGTGACAATAAAAGCTTAGCTAAAAGTGGCTTTTGAGGTCAAACATACCCCCATTTTAAATAAAATATGGATCCTATTGCTAATCTAAAACAAAAGTGAGCTATTTGAGGGATTTGTTATAGAAGTATGTATCTATCAGCTTTTCCTTCAAACATTGATGATTTTGCAGTTGTTAATTAAGTCTTCTGATTCTTATTTTATTTTAAAATTAAGCCTTCTAATTTCGCATCATACTGTAATTTATAATCTTATACGTATTTTCCAACACAGGCAACAGAATTCGGCATATGCATCCACTAATATGAATATAAACTAATAATCAACATCCACTTTGTATAATGGCGTATGGAAGAAAAATACAGTTAAAGAGATAATGTTTAACTTAGTAATCATGTTTTCAACAGAACTATTGGGATTTTCAAAAAAAAATTAAGGTTAAACATCAATATATCTCTTTTTCCAATCCAATAGTCTAAAGCAAACAAATTCATAGGTATTATACCATCTGCAGAGTGTATGTGTATGATGGAAGAAGCTGAGCTCAAAAACAGAAATGAGTTTAAAAAAACACCCACTACTAGATTTGGCAACAACAGCAGATTTCTTGGCATTATCAGGCTTGACTCCCTTTGCACCAGCCATATCTTTGACTTTCAGCTGCAATGAAACTCCAAACATTTAGATATACATAAGAAAAGAGAAATTGAGTTGACTTCAATCAAGATAATGATTTCGAACTAAGTAAGAACATTCCTGATTTCTAGTAATTACAGAAGGGCGTTAAGTTCTTGCTTTAGGCAAAGCACAAATGATCGGAAGCCGTTCACAAACCAAAACAAGCAAGAACTTCCAAACCGTTCGAATTCTTGTTGCTAGTTGCTACTTTCCAGTCAACCAAAAAACCAAAAAATTCTCTCAAAATCAACAAAAAAACTTTAAAAAATCCCTCGAAATCAACCAAATTTAAAGGTGCAGCAGCAAAATTTGGATTTGGTCCCCATCGGCAGACCCAGGATTTTTTCCCGAGCAGGTGCACCTTTAAGTTGGATCAAATGCCCGCAAAGCCGTTCGATGTTTTTTAGCCAAATTCCACGTTCGAGAAATTTTAAGTTTTTTGGTTAATTTCGATAGAATTTTTCAGTTCTTTGGTTGACTTTGAGGGCCTTATTCGGTTTTTTGGGTTGATTTCGTAAGACTTCTCAACTTTAAGGATTTGATTCTCTATATCGTTTAATTTTCTAGGTTCCTAACTTTGTTTCCTTATGCCTCTAGGATTTTAGTACTAAATAGGATGTCTTGCAAACTAAAATTAAGTAACCAAATTTAAAGAATCCTAGATTGATAAACAACTACTAAAATTGAGAAAATAAAAAATAAGCTAAGAAAATTAACATCAAACTAACAGACACAAGGCAATTTAGGGCAGAAATATTGGTCAATTGTCAAAACTCAATTACTCAAACGTAAAAACTCAAAACAAACAGATAAATTATGTAAGCAAATCAATGAAATCATGTAAACATAATTGTATAACATTATAACTAATCAATTAGAGCAAGTGCCAAAATTTTAAATTTGAGTTAGGTTTCGGGATAAAACCTGAAAGAGAGATTGAGAGAGTGACTGAGTGAGTGTGAGAACCTGAGAGAGTGAGAGTCGAGACTGAGAAATGGCCGGAGTTGCGCCGGCGGAAGCCTGAGAGACGGAGAGAGTGCGAGTCGGGGAAAGATGGCTGCTGGCCTGTTTGTCCCATGTGATGTTTTTTTAAATAAAAACAAATACAGTTTTGGTCCCTCCGGATCCCATCAAATGACATTTGATTTCTCAAATATCCCGGAGCACACCCCAATTTCTATCGGGTGCCATCTTTCATACCCAAAAAGATTTTACAATTTTGGATTGCGCGGGTGCACGCTACTCTGCTCCCTCTTTATAGGTCTGCTTTTGTTAGTCTCTAAAACGAACTATTTACATTGGTGGTTCCAAACTCTTCAAGTTCATAACATTTAATAGGAACAAATCAATCTTTACAAAAACTATAGAGACATAAAGTGTAATTCACTTTAAAATTAATTGTGATTCAGATCTTTCTTTTTTAATTTCTTATTTAAAATATTTTATATATCCAATTAAAAATTAAAATCTTAAAATTAAAGTATACAGTGGGTTGGATATTCAGGTTAGGGATGAGTATAGGCGGGGATACCCGCCCTGTTTGAAAGGAACCGGAATCGGCGGTTCTTGAGATATTGGAACCGGAACCGGTTAGAGCGGTTCTTGAATTTTTGGAACCGGAACCGCTGGGAACTGGTTTCGGTTCCGGGTACCCGCTTTCTAAAATATTAAAATTTTGTTATTTAGAAATAAAAAATAAAATATTGTCAAAACACTAATAAATAAACAAGAATACAAATTATACGGAATAATTGTTATAAATTTTGTTTAACGATTATAAACCATAATAGACTAATAGTAAATGTTGAAAATTTAACGATTACATACTATAATTGTAAAGGTTCAAAGTTTAACGATTACATACTACGAATCCAATTAAACACACAATTTGAAAAAATACGGATCATTTTATCTTAAATTTTGAATCTAGAGTTCTAAGTTTTTGAACTAACTTAATCTAGTATTAAAAAAACAATTATTATTTTTAATTGAAAAATATCAGGTACCCGCCGGTTCCGGTTACCCGGTCTAGGAACCGGTCCCAGCGGGTAACAGTTCCAAAAAATTGAGAACCGAAACCGGAACCATTCTCAATCGGTTCCGTATTTTAGGAACCGGAAACACTCATATCGGTTCCGGTTCCGGAACCGACAGTTCCGGTTTCGCAAGTGAGTACCCGGTTCCGCTGCTCACCTCTAATCTAGATTAATCAAAAAAAAAAGTACACAAAAACCTATTAAACTGATAAAATGACTTTTTTGTTATAAAATCTTAAGTTTAGAAAGAAAAAACCACAAAGAAGTTTATACATGTTTTGTATATGTTTCATGATGTAACTTTTATTATTTAATTAAATGTTTGTTTTACATGATAAAATAATATAATTTATTAAGTTGTTGAAATAAAAAAATATATATGGGTATAAATTGTAAAACTAACAAATATAAGAAGGGTATTAATAAAAATTAAACAAATTAAAGATAAAAATGAGTTTAGATAGAACCTTATGATTTGATATAAGAAATAGTTTAACCATCAATGTTATTAATAAGATTTAGGCCTTCCAAACCTGTTTTCACTGAGCAAGAAAAGCTCAGATTTTCGGATCGGGGCGTAGGCTAACGTTTAGGGTTGAAAGAGAGTCCAGTCAGATTCTTTTAGGTTCGGACTTTGACCAGACCTTGAAAAAACAGTTAACATTATCATGCATGAGCTCAAAGGTACTAGACCCCAGCTTTTTTAAGCCAAACTTGTCTGGTGTTTTTTTTACATTTTTACATACAAATTTGTAATACAACATTTTTACCTTATAATACAAAACTATCACAATTAATCGTATATAATCTAAATTGTTAAAAAACTGTCCAAAGAGAGGTTGGATATAAAAACCTTAAAAGGACAACAGAATTTGATGGAATGGTCCATATGGATGCATCCCTGTCATGAAAAAGTGTTTTTTTTAACCGTAAATGTCAGCATGGTATATACCACATCCAACAAAGGATGGTTTTTCAAGATTCATATGAAATTTATTTATTAAACATGAATCGTCAAACTTATAAAACATAAGCGTATGTTACGTGCATCATACCTTACAGGTAGACATTATATGTAAAACCAAGGGTAATCTAATTTAGAAAGCCAACATTGCTAGTTCCATCGGAAAATTGTCTCGCTAATTCAAACAGGTAGTGCCTGATTGGTTTGAGTTTGGCTCCAAAGGTCAAAAGTACCAGGAGGTCTCAGGTTCAAATCCAAGGAGGAATAAAAATCCCCTTGTGGCCACGGAGGTTCAAATGCGATGATTCCGGACTATCTGCAAAGCAGGTGGTCGTCCTGGAATTAGTCGGCTCGCTTGGATATCCAGGTTAATGAAAAAAATAGCTGAATTGGTTTGAGCAATAACCCAACTAGTTAAACTGAAACGTGCGGCACCCGTATAAGGAGGTGAACCAAGCGACAAAAATTTAGATTCTTATTTCTAACACAAGAGATACAATAACGTTTTGATGGATAATGGTAAAAGTTTTATTATAATTTCTAACCTAAGTACACAACTAATAACACGACATTTTTCTGATGGATTACGATAAGAAAACCTTTTACTCTACAAAAAATTGTAATTTTTTTTTGTTATGCACATGTGCATTCCCGTATGATAACATAGGTCATCTCATACAACTTTATATGCATATTTGTCGTCTACGTGCAAGACAAAATCTCTAACAATTACATATTTTAGAAAGCAACTAGGTCTCGATACCATAACATAAAGAACTCCAAGACATCGATTTTGTTTAAGTTAGATGCTAACATTTAAGTTTGAAAAGTGGTTTCAAAGACGAAACTTGGTCATTTCACCGGTACTTGAAATTATCACACGATAAAACGAACAAATTTTAATTATATTACATTGTAATTATAATTTAAGTTAAAAATTCGATTGAAAAGATAATTTATTCATTCGACCCAAATAATCAAATACACTAAAAACAAATAGTATTAAATTTTAACAAAGTCACGTTACCTCTCTGAATGAATATGGTACGGATCAAGAATCTTACCCGATAAGTAAATAATAGTGTTAGATTTTATTGATAAGCACTTATGTTGATCCTCTCTCTCAGTGATTTGATGATAATCCCTTTTTCCTTTCGATGTATTTCTGTATCTATAATTTCAGTTCCAGCGATCATACACTGAGCTTATTCAGTGATCGCTGAAGAACTTGTTTTGTAATTCATTCAGAGACAACGATACTTCAAGAAAAC